GACGTGTGCTCTTCCGATCTCCCCAAAACCCCAAAACCCCAAAACCCCGCAAAGAAAATCTCAATCAATTATTGGACTAAATTATCTTAAATGTATTTTTGGCAATTCTATTAAAATATTTATAAATGGAAATATAATAGAGTAAAAAAGGCGAATAAAAGCAAAAATCTTCTCAAATTCTTTCTTTTCATGCACTAGTTATCACCTTTAACCAGTATGAAGATCTTGAAAGAGAGTATTATGATTAATCCCACAAAATATTATATGATACTAGAAGGATGAAAAACTTTCTCAAAGGTTAAAACCACAATGTTTTAAGTATTGAGAATTGCAAAAAAGAGGAACTGATCTAAAAAGTTGAAAGCTTTTCTCAAGAGATTGATAAACGAAGCTATTAACTCTTAGTATACTTTTCAGGTAAATGTAAGATAAAGGATAAAAAGAATGGAAATCATGATTATCTTTGCTATCTTGGAAATGAAGCTGTAGATTTGAAATAAGAATTAAACAGTATATTTAAAGGCTACAATTTCAGGTATCAATTTATCTACGATGCATATCTTACAGATATCTCTTTTGAAGAGTAGAAATTAATGAGAGAAGTTTGCTGGACCTTAGTAAATGATAAAGTGAATAATGTTGATCAATTTTGTATGATTCATAGCTCAACTTACTATAAATTTAAGAATTTTGAGATCAAACCCTCTTGTTCTTATTCAACAGATATGCTATTATATATCTTAAGAGATCCAAATAATCTTTCAAAAATTACAAGGGCTGATTAATTCCATTTGATAAGCATATTTAAAACATACTCAGAAGTTTTAACATACCCTGAGTATAGTAAAGATTTTGCTGATTTTTACAAGGATATGATAGCAATGAAGGGATATATTGCTGATACAAAGTAGAAATAGGCAATAGAAGAGATGAAGATCATTGAGGAGAGCCCTGATTAGATTAAGCTTTTAGACTACGGAAAGAAAGGAGCTGGAAAATTAATAGATTAGCTGATTATTGATTATGAGGGAGATATATCTAATAAATTTTGTGAACCTGATTAATGCTTACTTCTACCAGGCCAACGAGAAATACAGTGGATTAGATTCATATATAATGACCTTAATTCAAAGTAAAACTTTATGGTTCTCTGGTCTACAGATTAAGTGTTTTTAGTAGATCTCTTAGAAAACAAGATAATATACACTTAAAAGTTTACAGGCGACTATATATATGCAGTTGCTTTCGTCCAAGGTATAAGAATCCTTGGACTCCTATATGAGTTTAATCATCAACCATATTTAATAAACATTGATACTTTAAAGGAATATAAAGTGGAGACAAATTATCAAGGAAGTTACTTAGCGATAAGCTAGTACCTTTCAAAATATTTAGTACTTGCCCCTAACAATGACAATTTGCTATTTTATCACGATGTCAATAATAAAATGCTAATTGCAGGCAAACTCTCTCTTTAAAAGTCCTAAATATTCAGAGATTTAATTTGCTACAAGAATTACATTATCGTTCTTAAAACAAATGAATATAATCATGCATAAGTATAAATAGCAGTTTATGTCATGCAAACTTAGCCTAATGAAGGCTCAAATCAAGCTTTTGTAGTTGGCTTAATTTATGATCATAGATATTGTGGTGAAGTTTCTACAAAGCTAGCTCCAAGCATGCCATTCAATTTAATTTTAAATAAAGATAGATACTGTTAATTAAGTTTGATTGAATTTCAGAAGAAATTTACTATTAAAACATAATCAGCGGGAGTTATTTTACATAACACTACAAATTCTATCTCAAAAGATCTTTATAGAAGCATGCACGAGTTAGATCGAAACTTTAAGTTCGTTGAATTTGATCAAGATGATAAAAGCTGTTTTTATACTATAATATCAAGCGGTGGTTAAAATCATTTAACAAGATTTAGAATCGACAGTTAACTCCTTGATATTTTCAAAAAATAGGAATGAGAATCAAGTCTTAACCATTTAACTAATTAAAATATTAAATTTTATTTAGATTTACAAACATTATTTCTAATATTCATCCCTTAGGGGTTTTGGGGTTTTGGGGTTTTGGG